ATATATATATAATAAAATGTTTTATTATTAATAAAATTTTCTTTGTAAATAAATGAATTATATACTCAAAATCAAATGGTTTTTCATTATAATATGGAATATTATCATGCTCATAAATAACAATCTATAAAATTCAGTTTACAGGTAGTTTCAACAGAAATTTTATATTACCTTATGTGAATAAGGTAATAAATTTTTTAACATTACTAAAGTGTACAAAAAATAAAAAGTTTATTGTTTACCCATTTACGATGAAGGTGAGAAATTATTGTAAAATTTTAAGACTTATTACAAAAAAAATATATCAACTCAAGAAAAAAAAATTCGCAAAAGCCTTATGTCAAAAATACGCAAAAAAATGTGAAGAAACGGTGCGTAAACGCATTAATGGTCGTAAATGGCTTGAAATTATTGAGACTTTCTATAATATTAAACGGTTAAAATGCCATTTTAAATGAGATTAGAAAAAAAATATTACTAATGGAAATTAAGAGACGATTTTTACATCGAATTTTAACTAAATTCTTTAACTTTACGAAGATATACAGTACAGAAACGTATTTAAAATTAAGAAACAATTTTTTTCACTTATTAAAGTTCAATTATTTTATTTTAATGAATATATTTGACTATTTTATGAATTTTTAAAATCGACTACGTCATAACATTGGTACAGTTATTTGAATTGTAAAAACGAAATTGTGTATTTTTGTTCGAATCCAAGGCGCGCTCGACTTTAAGCTGGCATCGGGCGCCCGGCACTTCAGGGTTGAAGAGACGACAAGGCTAGAGCAAAGGTTCGAGAGAAAATGAGTACGCCCCTCCAGTCTTCGATTCTTCGGCCGTACTCGGCAAAGCGACCGTGCGGGGGATTTGTTTTCTGTCCCTTACGCCATGTAGTAAATAAGGTTTGGCCGATAGTACCTTAAAAGGCAAGTAGATGATGGAGCTGGAGACCTTGAATATTTGGAAAGGATATATGCAAACGGAAAATAATGTTGAATGCATTGGTGAGGAGTGTAACAATGTATGGTGGAGAAGATCTAGGAGAGCAGGGAGACTATATAGTGAGAGAGGAGTTGAAGCCGGAGAAGATGAGGGTGGAAGTAGGCAGAACGGCCAAAAGTACGAGAATGGGCTTCAGCAGAGGAGCGATTATGGAAGAGTCTTGGAGAAAAATTAAGAGTAAGGTAAAGGTGTATGGACAACAAGAAAGAAGGGAATATTATATCACAGCAGCGTACTCAACAGAGACGATACAAAGAAGGAGGAGAGAAGAGTCAACACTGCGGAAGGAGTTGGAGGGTAGTATAAAGATAATAAGTAGTTTGATGGAGGAGATTAGAAGGAAGGGAAAAAAGGATGAATGCGCGATTTAGGTGCGGGAATGAAGAGAAGGAGAATAAATATTGGGCAGAGGATGAGGGGAGGATGGTGAGGATGATTGGGAGACAATTAATCAATTTAATATACTTTAATATACTGAGGTGTGACTATTAGAGGGAGAATGGTATGGAGTGGGAGCGCATACTGGATGGAGGGAGGAGAGGAAATTATGTGGGAGAGGAAAAGAAGGAGGCATTACTGACTTAACTAAACAAGACCAAAAAGTTCTTCTTTGAAAAGTTATTTTTTGTAAAACCGTTTGAGTTAAACAAATAAGCTAGAAGGCGTTATCTGCAGTGATAACATATTTTAGTGATTATTGAAAAAAGTTAAATGGAACGGTACTATTTATTTGACAGATCAATAGTCGCCATAAAATTTGCTAAATTTGAGTGAAAACCATATCTCGATAATTCCATCCGTTCTCGAATTATAGAAGAAAATGTTAAAAATTCGTAATCGGATCAAGTTGCTTTGGCAAACATATCACAGAGCACAAAAATGTTATTACCTACAGACTTCAAGTTATCCAAGTTTAGGACTACTATAAAACTACTTTTGAAGCGCGTTTAAAGACCAACGGGATAACGAAACATAAACAATGACAACAAAACAAAATTGTAGAATTGTTCAAATTTTAGCCAAAAATAGCTCACAAATGTTCGAAATGTCTTTATTTAATTTAGTTTCGGTAGAAGAAAATCGCCGCTTAAGTTTCAGCCCTGGACATCGATAGATGGATCCGGCGAACACGTTGCTTATGGACTTCTAATAACCCCATGCAGATATTACTCATCTAAATGCTGACATACATTTCAGTTATAATGCGCCGGAAAGCCATCAAATTGGAATCACATGATCCTTCTTGTTTCCAAGAAGACGTTTTTTAAAAGGGGCAAAGGAAAACGTTTAAAAATTCCAAAAACAGTTCTCCGTTAAGAGTCCTTCCACAGTTCAAATTCATAAGACCCCTTCATCCGTTCAAACTCCAGCGATTTTGATGCTCTACCTGCCACGTCCAATGTAGGTTCCGCTTGAACCAATAATGCATAATGCAATAATGCAGCCATGACAACAGTTTAGTCTGGTATCAGAATCGGTATCTGTTAACCCTAGGATGCATAAACCGAGCCTCTCAGGCCCGGCGAGATTTTAATTACTCATAATTTTCGTAAAATAATTTCAATCGGCTTGAGCATTTAGATATGCTCTAAACACATCTTTATTCAATACACACTTGATTCGAAAACTTTCAAGTGTAATTAGCAATCGAAAAAAAAAATCGTTTCCATTAGCACCCCGTATTTGCAATAACCGGGCCTCCGAAGCCCGTGTACTACTAGTTACTATAGAACAAGTTTCAACTTGTTCATTACAGGTTGAGGGTTATTATAATTTGTCAAACAGTGCTGCTCGAAATTGTGCGTGTCTGTGCAAGTTAAAACGTGTACTGTTGGATGTATAAAAGTAGGTGCAGCTGTTTTTCATTCAGTTGGAATAGAAGTAGGATTGAGTGAACTTGTGAGATACATATGATAATGACGTCAAAAAGGAATGTGAAAAGCGTGAGATTTGCTGAACGGTTATGAAGAAATATTGGTGCAGTGGGCAGCTGAATGTGATGATCTGCCTTCTGAAGAAAGTGATGTGTCAGAAGCAGAAAATGATGACACAGAAGATAGAAATTTCGAATTGGTTCCTGACGAGTATTCTGGCTCCAGTTCTGATCATGGTGACGATAATTCTGAGGATGATGTTGATGATATTGGTAAGCCTTCAACGAGCGGTTACATTGTTCCAAGTGGTCTGGTATGAGTTTGGAACCTCCAGCAAAAAATAAAATTCAACCACACAACATTATTCGACGTGCGCCAGGACTAGCAAGGAAACATATGGCTGCAACACCAACAGAAGCGTTTCAGTTATTTGTAACTCCAGTTATTGTACAAGAAATTGTGAACTGTTGTACTAATTTAGAGGGCAAACGTGTTTATGGAGCAAAAGGAAAACCGTGGAAAGATGTAACTGTTGATGAATTTCTTGCATTCTGTGGTTTATTATATATTTACTTATACATGCGGGAGTTGACAGAAGCTGGGATGTTCCTGCGAGAGAATTATTTTATGATGAATTTGCCAATCCTGTATACCGAGCCACAATGTCCATATTTCGCTTTGAAGAAATACGAAGATTCGCCAGATTTGACGACAAGAGAACCCGGAATGCGCTTTTGGAAACCGATAAGTTAGCCATGGTGTCCTACATTTGGGATTTATTCATTCAGCAATGCAAAACCTGCGTCATACCTGATACTAATGTAACTATTGATGAACAACTTGTTGGGTTTAGAGGTAGATGCACATTCGTTCAATATATGCCAAGTAAACCGGCAAAATATGGACTTAAAATATTTTGGATGTGTGAATCTACGTCTGGTTATGCTTTGGATTGTTTAATTTATGTTGGTCGCCAGCCCGGAGAACCTCCACATAAAAACCTGGGGCTTGAAGTAGTACAAACACTTGTGCGTGGCATTCATAATTCTGATCGAAATCTCACGATAGACAATTTCTTCACTAGTGTTCCGCTAGCAACTTATCTGTTGGATAAAAATATTACTGTTGTGGGTACACTACGTCAGAATAAGCTCGTGTAGTATTTTTTGTTTTGAAAATAACATATCCATGGTATGTTACGCACGTAAAAAGAACAAATGTGTAATTTTACTAAGCACCATGCACCACGACGCATCTATCAATGACGACGTTAAGAGGAAGCCTGAAACCCTCTCTCATTATAATAAAACAAAGGGCGGTGTTGTCATCATGGATCAAATGGTGTCGACATACACGTGCAAGAGGCAAAGTAAACGATGGCCCATGACATTTTTGTTCAACATCATTGATGTTGCGGCACTCAATGCAACATAGCCTGACATAAGCCTAACATAGCCTACATCCAAACTACAACATAGGAGTGACTCACAAACGCAGAATGTTTTTGAAAGATTTAGCGAAGGAACCAGTGATACCACATATGCAGAGAAGATCTACTAACCCTAGCCTACGGCGTACTGTCCGGGAGTGTATGAGCAGATTTATTGATATATGTGGTCCGCCAGCCGCTCACACAAGTGCAACAATTAAGAGAAAAAGATGCTCAGTATGTCCCGCAAGTATTGATCGTAAAAGCACAATGATATGTATTACTTGTAAAAATAATATCTGTAATGAGCATAGTATTAGAATGTGCACTAAATGCTTCTCTAATCCCTAAAAACAATAAACAATCATGTTTTTTTAACAATTATTTCCCTTTCATATTTAACCTCACGTTTGTAACGTACATATGTATAAATAAATAAAGTTTTACTTCAATAACTTTGTTTCTGTTCTGACTACACGTGATTTTATATAACGGGTCTTAGAAGCCCGGATTATGTAAATGACGATATTTTATTGGTTAAGTATCCTAGGGTTAAGGCCTGATGTAAAACAATGTGGTTGAGATTCACATTATTCTCTTGAAGAATCTTGTAGACAATTGTTTTCGCGACTTTAAAGAGATGTCTTATTATTATATTTGTTATGTGATTTGTTTTTCTCCATAAGATAATTGATTCCGATTAAAGGCATTCGAGTTTTTAATATCTCCTTCTATAATTCGAGAATGGATGGAGATATCGAGATGTAAATAGTACTGTTTCATTTAAGTTTTTGACAAAGATCACTAAAATATGTAATTGCTGCAGATAACGCCCTCTAGCTTGTTTGTCTTAAATCAAACGTCTCACTGAAATAACTTTTAAATGAACATAAAATGTTCTTTCAAACAAGACGGAAACTATTCCAATCGGTTGAATGGTTCAGAAGATATTAAAATGTAAATATTTGAAAAGTACTGGCCTCCCTTATTATGACAGATATGAGAAATGTCGCAAAACAAAAACGATGCCGTATTATCCAAGCTATCAAATGATGTCAAAGCTCATCATCTAACTTTTCGAGATAGCGGGAATGTTATATTTCTTTATGGCAGTTACTGTATAACCCCTAGCGGTCGGATTACGAGCTTCAAAATAATTTCCAGATATTTCTCTTGTGCACTTTGCCAATAATGATTTTTGTCCAAACCTCTAGACCCTAATCTTTATCATTGTCGAAATACAGCCGCTTCGTACCCGTATCGGGACACCCGATATATTATGTATTGTATTATATATTGTGTTTTAATGGTATACTGAAAGTGACAATAAAGCAATAGTTAAGATACCTTTCTAAATTTTTACCTCTTTAGTATAAACATTTAAATGTAGACAATCCTCAGATCCTGTAAATTTCATAGTAAATATATGCCTTGAAAAGCATCCATCCTTAACTTCAGTGCAATCTTTAACTCCTGTCCAATTTTCAATATCTACGGGTGCCTAAAAATTACACATTATTTAAAACAAATTTTAATTTATTTTTAATAAATTTACTTTAAATCTAAGTTCACCAATCGGAGGTTTTCCGTATGGAATTCCATAGAAACAGTAAAATAATTCTTCGTCGTAATCCAAAGATGTTGTTCCTTTAACTAAACCGTGTTGTGTTCGAACAATTGTATTCATGTCGATCTTTAGTCGCGACGATTTTAATACGATTTGAGGAGAAATAACGAGATTTTAAGCTGTTGAACATTTTTTTGTATTAAGTGTTTTATCTTATGTTTACGGTTCATCGTAAAACGATGGATCTAAAACGTTGTGTAATTTTTGGACTTTGAAGTTTTTAAGTGATGATAATGCAATTAGATAAAAAATTACTTCAATTAAATTGAATGAAAAAATCAATGTATGAAAAAAAAACAAATTTCGCCAATTCATTTTATTTAATGTTCAATGATTGACAATTAATTTTTTTATCACAATTTTGAATTAGTTTCGCAGATTTCTTGAATATTATCCCAAAATTCCATTCTTTCTTTTTCAGGATTAATATATGTTTTTAATTCTGGTCCGATATCTAAATAATTTATTTGGTTATTTTCAACCGGTTTCCAGTTAATATCATTGATGTATTCATCTTTTTCTGTAGGGTTTGGATTTCCCGTTTTTGCAAACGTTGCCCAGAGCTTTGTCATCCTCTTAATTGTTTTGTATTCCATGCTGTCAAGTTCTAAATCTTCTGGTGTTAAGAAAAGTTTGAATAAGTAACCAATTTCATCAGCATGGGCAGCTCCTAAAAATTAATTATTACTATAAACACGGTCGTTCTTAGATTAATTTACCTGGTAGTGTTATCCCCATAAATGTTTTATATAAATTTAATAAACCATCAACTGAAAATTTATATAAATATACGGGGTGATATTTAGAGTGGTACCTCGCACTTTGGTAAATACCATGAACGAAAAATAAATCGGTTTGCATCTAAAATCTGTTTCTACAAAGTATTTAAAAACATAAGAAAAACACTTACCAAAAAGAATTTTTCTTTATTTTCTTCGGTTGGTTCTTCATTTTTATAATAAAATTCTTTAATTTTCTTAGCTATTCCCCTAGATTTATCAGTTCCCAATTGAATATTAAAGGTATTGGGGATAGCTTCTTCAAAATTCTTTACTAAAGTACTGTTTCCATGTCGCATTTCAACCATCTGATAAAAAAATCCTTCCATAGACGTGAACCCAAGCATAAAAGGTACTTTGTTGAAAGTACCTTTTTTAATTATATCTAAGGGATGTTCAGTTATAAAATTAACCTGATTTTTATAAGGTTTTTCAATAATTGGACCTAATGCTCTCATTACATGGGATTTATAATCCTATAAATTAAAAAGATCACAAATAATTTTAATTTCTCCATTCCATATAAACACTTACATCCGGTATTTGTTCTTGTGCTTCAAAAAGTTTTTCAACAGGTAACTCTTGGAAATATCTAAAAAGTTCCTGATCGGTTTTAAAAGGTAACCCGAGAATTTCAGCTAAAATATACAAAGGATTTCTAGAAACTGCCCAAGGAACTAAGCAACATCCACTTTGTGCTATGGCTTTATGAAATAACCCTTTAGCCATTGGTGATAATATTAAATAATGTATTGAAGTGCCCCCAGCACTTTCGCCGAAGATTGTTACGTTGTTTGGATCACCACCGAAATTTTTTATGTTGTCTTGAACCCATTGTAATGCTAAAACTTGATCTTTTAATCCGGCATTTCCTGGTACCTCCAAAGTTGGGTCATCAAATGTTAAAAATCCAAGAAGACCCAATCTATAATTTATTGTAACTAAGATTACGTTTTCTGTTATTAAAAAATCTGGTCCATAAACGTCCGATTTTGATGATCCGGCTGTATAGGCGCCACCATGAATCCAAACCATAACAGGTTTTAACGATGTTGTTTTGGATTCCTGTAATTTTATAAAAATATTTTTCTTTTATATAAATTTAAATGTTTCTTTTTAATATTTACACCTCTTGTGTGAAAACATTTAATGTTAAACAATCTTCAGAACCGGCTAAAGTTTGATAGATAAGATCTTTGGAATAACATCCTGGATTGTCTTCTATACAGTCTTTTATGCCTGACCATTTTTCAGCTGGTAAAGGAGCCTAATCACCAAAACATTTAAATTAATTAATATCATAAACATTTGATTCGATTTTATTTAGTTACCTTAAATCTTAAATTTCCCAACGGAGGTTTCGCGTATGGTATTCCAAGAAACGCGCGGAATTTAATACCTTTAAATCCCTCAACTAATTTTCCACGAATTTTACCTTGTTGAACGTTTACTATTAGATCACTCATGATGTTGTCTTATTCAGATTATTACTGGTTTGTAGTTGTTGAAATTATTGTGATGTTAGATAAAAAATGATAATCTGTAAGCAATTTAAAACATTATCTTTGAAGGTTTCGTAATCATAGATAGTGGTAAAGTAGATGTCGTAATTTTAGTCTCGGTTCAAATTCCTACTGAAATGTTAATAGGCGATCTTATGAAATTTTTTTTAATGGAATAAATAAAATTTTTTTCTTTAAATTTCAAAAAGGATAGTATCAAATACTTTTATAAGTAATTGTTCTTTTAATAGGACATTCTGGATATTGCTTTATTAAAATATAAAATAAAAAAGTTCAAATATATTTACTTCTACAAACACATTTTCGTACCGTATACTATTTTATAAACACTATCTATTTATAAGCTTATTTTAGATACCATCCCACGTCGAACTGTCATTTATTAGTAGAAAACTTAATTGAAACTTTATTTTATTTTTCTTTATATTTAGCAGAATTAAACACAAAAATTGAATAAAACTTTATTCGTTCGCGTTTATAATATCACGGTCACGAAGTCGTATACTTTATTTAAAGTAGCACGTTCAATATTTGTATTAAAATAAACGCAGTCTTGGTTGCCTATCTATCAGATCAATTAAATCTAACAAAAAATCTATTCATTTTTATCTGGACTTATATCAATGTTGTTTCTTTTCAGAGCTTCTCTTTGACTTTTTTATTGTGATTTTTCTTTTCTATTCTTTTTTAGATTAACTTATGTCGCCTTATGTCTAATCGCCTTTTAGGTGCATTTTTAGTCCTTTTCCTAACGTTCTATTTCCTTATTGTTGCCATAAATGTGTTTTTCTCATTTATTTCGGGTTATACCTATAACGAAGGAGTAGATACTCTTTCTATTGATGTCTTATAGACCTGTCGGAGAATTTACTGTCTATTGTTGTGTAGGCAACTACATTAACATGTAGGTTAGCTCTGATATAATTTATTTTTCCATCAGAACAAAGAACAGCTGCACAACTGTGTACAGGTGTCCCAATTTCGATGTCCGCATAGGCTATCTCCGAAACTAAAAGAGATAGAAAAAAAATAGCTTACATGTCATGAACTCATTTTTCGAGAAAATGCTAATGGCGAAAACTCCGAACAGCTATCGCCCGATCAGCAAAAAGTGAAAATTTTGCGAAAACGACAATCGCGAATATCTCACTTATTATCAAAGATGGAGTATTATAAATTAAACATTATATGGACAACAAAAATAAAGTTACGCCTAAAATCTCGAAAATAAAAGATGGGAAAAGATTCTATGTACGCCACTGAATTCTTCGTAAAAAGTTGCCCATATAATGTTTTATTTATAATACTCCATCTTATACGTATACAGGATGTCCGGTATCTTCCGCATCAGAGCATTATACGGTTGTAGGATATAATATTCTGAAGCGATCTTTCTAATAAATTTTTTTCGAAATGTTTATAATAACATTTACAATAACATGTTTACAATAGCGGACAACTTTGATTCACCGAAAAAGTTTATTTCTCTTCCTGTGTCGAATCTATTGGTAAGTACACGTGAGAAACGTGTTTTGATCGGCGCGGCGCGGCGGTCCGGCCGGGGGTTGGGCCGATTACCTGAATCTGATTTACGATTTGCTATTGGACGTCGAAAAACAGTTCCCGTGCGGTTATTATAAATATTTCGAAAAAAATTTATTAGAAAGATCGCTTCAGAATAATGTATCCTACAACCGTATAATGCTCTGATGCGGAAGATACCGGACAGCCTGTATAAGGCAAATATAAGGATTCTCGTAATAAAAATGACCAGTGAAATGGTTCAGAATCAGACAAATTACATATAATTACCAGATTTTAACATAGCTTATTACAGTTTTAATAGAAAATAGGAGATTTGATAATTGTCGACATAATTTCGAGTTATGTCGACTGTCGTTTAGTTTGGTGAGGCATTTAAATTGAGACGACCTTATAAACTATGATTTGTATAGAGAAATGTTTCAAATAAAACTTTCATCATATGAAGGGGGAAAATATTCTATATGGTTTTCATTGCATTTTAGAAACTCCATCTATGTATTTCAAGTGTTAACTAAGTTTTTTTAAATGGATACATATATTTTTTCATCACTACGCGATTTTCCGTGACAAAGTAGATAACTTTTAGTTGAAACATTTTTTTATTTAATGAATATTTCGCATTATAAAAATTCACAATGCACCTAGAAAACACCACAATTAACGTCAAGTAGGCTGGAAATATTGAGGCGGCAATAACAGGTGGCAGTTGTTTTAATACCCATATCTGTCAAAATTTGCTCTAGCAATATATTCATTAGTTACGTTTCAATAATTAAGCATGGAAAGGCATACGATTGATGAAAAAAATTAAATGTTTTTCGTTTATGGAGAAGCAACCAGAGATCAATGTTGTATACTTATTTAACTATACTTTTACCTACCTGTGCTTGTTCTCCATGACAAAATAAACAACTTTTATTCCAAACATTATTTATTTAGCGTGTATTTGTGGATAAAAATGTCAAATAATTACTTCAAACAAACACGCACAACAAATAAGCTTCACTTTACAATAAAATTCTATGTTTCTAAATTCTCCTCGAGAAATAGCACGAGAAAAAATATGTGGATTATTACGATCGTTGATTATAAACGTTGATTGATGGATGATGATAATACATCACACAATGTGGTTTGCGTGAGTCGAATTTTTCTCTGTTGAAGCTCTCCAGCCCTACCTAATTGTTTCATAATACGATAAAATTATGCACGGGATGGGATGTTTCGGGCAACATTAATAACTCTGGCTACTTCTCGAATCTTAATTAATGAAACGTAAAGAATGAATTTGTAGCTAAGGGTTAGCTAAACTAAATTTATAGCCGCCTTTATATTTTCAGTCTACTTGATGTTAGTTGTGGTGTTTCTTGATCGCAGTTTAAATTTTTGTATATATGTAGCTTCACGTGGTTGTGAATTCCATCAAAGCACTTAGGCCCCAGCACACAGTGGTCCGACTGGTAAGAAACCCGATCAAAAATATTATTTTGCTGTTAGCAATTAGCTAGCTTTATGAAACTTAGCATATGAATATAAGACGAAAAGAGAAATGTTGTGACAAAATTTGAATTAAATGCGTCCACCCGAAGTAGTAAGTAAAGTACTACTTCCGTATACATACTCATTTTCTTTTCATAAAAATTAGGACTTCAACGAAGAATACTACTATAAAACTTTGTGCAAGACATTAGACATACATATATTATTTCACATTTTTTCGTGAAATTACGTGACCAGAAATTCCTAAACGTATATTTAAATTGTTTTATAGAGGAACTATATAGTAGCGAAGAATTTGGTATTTGCCAAATCGATATAAGGTAAAGGGGCCTATATTTTGAGAGTAGTAGCGTTATATAACTTCCACTTCTACCGAAAACGACTGCTTTAGTAGTTAGATACATTAATTCTAAGGAAGTTATACGCGAAAGTTTTTTGTATCGTTTACAATTTTCAAGAAAACAAGTTTGAAAAATCAAATCTACTTGTGTTTGATATGCTGTATCATCTTCGTCTTTAATGTAAATAATATTAATAATAAATACAATGTACATAATTATCGAATGGAAGTAACGTTGAAAATATATAAAAATGTAGCAGAATTGTACAAGTCTAGTAAAATCTACTAAAATTTAAAATTTAGAAAATTTGCAATAATTTGGTAAGATTTAGTATTTTCCAAAATTTTACTTCCGGTAATACCGGAAATGGATGCAAGCTTCTTTATTTTAAAGAAATACCAATATTATATTAGTTGGTTAGATAGCTTAATTTTACGTAAATTTTACTAAAAATGTTTTAATAACTATTCGACAATAATTTTACAGAGGTACTGGAGCTGTATCCCTGTAAAATTATTCATTGCTGTTAATTGAAGTGATATTAGAGCCCGTAATTCGTAAGTTTAAATCCTTCTCGTAGTAGAATTTTCTCATGATGACAATAATTCATTTTTATAATATCTCATATACTATACATGTAATATTATTTTATAGTTTTTATATCATATCATAAAATATAATCTTTAAGCTTCAATTTATTTTACATATCATATCAAGATTCTTAAAAATAGAGTTGATATCAATTTTTGAAAATTTCGTGTTAATTTTGGTTTATAAATTTGACAATATGGGAAAAAAGGTTTCTATTTTAAATTTCTCTCTTCCATTCAGTTGGACTGACGGCGCAGAGCCATCAAAAAAACCCTGGCGAGAACTGCTGCGTTTTGTTTTTTGAGATAGGTCCTTTGAGGTAGTCAGATTCCGGGTTTCTTTCTTTGGCAGACGATTCGAAGTAATCAAATTTATTCCTGAGGTTAATAATAAAATCATCAAGTGAAGTAAACATATTAGTTGCAACGTCCAGTGCTATTGTTTCTTTCTGAAGATAATTACTTATTTTGTCTATTCTTTCTAATATACAGTTCCAAATTTCCGTTAGTATAATATATTCTAGTTTTTCCATTTTACTGGACAGACTAAGTGCTTCGTCTCTAGTTTCTCGTGCCTGTTCTGTATCTTTTGCGATGGATATCAAAGCTTCTATAACTTGTTCATGACCTTCATGCAAGGCGCTTACTGCATCTGGTTGGGCTGACCATTTGGTTCGTGAAAGACTTTTAACAACTTTTTTTTGAACCTAAATGTTCTGTCAATATATTCCATCGATGAGTAGAGCCCGAAAAAAAGTTGTACACTTTCTGAACCATTTCAAAAAACTTTGTTGCCTCCGATACACACCCAGCAGCATGTACACCTACTAAGTTTAGTGAATGTCCCGCACATGGTACAAAGGTGGCAAATTCACATTTCTCCTTGATTCTTGCTTGTAGACCAGTATACTTCCCCGTGCAACCTTCTTCAGAAACCACTTCGAGCCAGTTTCTGAAGAAGGTTGCGACATGGCATCCGAAACGTCAAACCTTTTATTAAAAGACGCACGGCAAAACCCGAAAGTTTCTAGTGTTAGTTCTAGTTTTAGTTCTAATTTTAGTTCTAATTTTAGTTTAATTCACACCGGCCGTGAAAGCCTTCGTACTTATATTAAAAACATTTAAGTTACAACATAACATATACATCATATAATGATTCTTAAAAATATAGTCCATATGACTTTTCCTAATCTTCTCTTTAAAAAAAGTTTGGGTTGGGTTATGGATTATTTGTGAATGTTTACATAATGGAGGACAAATAAATAATTTTCTCTAATTACTGAATTAATTTTTACTGTTTAAATGTGTTTAGAGTCATATTTTGTTGCCAACACAGTCAATACATCAAATTTTATTGTATACATTCCATTTTCATAAGTTACATAATCAAGCAATTTGTTTACGTAGTCTTCAAAATATGGTGCTTTCAATTCGTCTGGGATGTGCGAATAAAATGGATTGGTGCTCAAAAAAGTACCTGGATTATAAGAATATGAGTGTAAATTTCTAGTGATAAGAGAAAATCTTTGTCATACTTCTCATAACATCTGTATTCGGATAGTGAAATAATGCATCATGATACAAATCAATTTTATCAATGATAAAACCAGCTCCTTCTAAAATATTTGTTATTGTTTCTTTTGGTGTTGGACCGTAATCCACGAAGTATAACCGCAAATCTTTTATGTATTTATACCAAGGTTTTGTGTTATCACTTTGTTGAGCGGACAAACATTTATTAGCAAAATTATCTTCGTTTGCTATTACAGAAAAAAATAATTGTCCATTGGGTTTCAACATTTGAAAGACATTTGTAGACCATCTAAAAAATATCTTAAAAATGTTTTAATAAGTTTAATAATAAAACAATAACCTACAAATCAGATCGTTCCACAACATGAAACAAATAAAGCGCAAAGATATGATTAAATCGTTCCTTGTATTTATAACATCCATCCAAGTCGGTTATATCCATTGTTTCAAACGATAAATTCATAAGATTGTTAGTTTCATTCGCTATTTGTATAGCTTCAGGACAAATATCGGCACCAATTAAACAATTAAGATGTTTTTTAACGAATGGATAAAGTATTTCTTTCGTAATTCGTCCGTTTGAACAACCAACTTCTAATATGTCTTCCGAATTCGCCCAATGGAAAAAATCTTTGTAATTCTCAAGAAAACTACGGGCATGATCCACTGCACTCAAATTATTATCCGCGTACAATTTTGAACTAAATAGTACTTTCTCCATCGCGTATCAAAATTAAATGTAAAACAAAATTACAGTTTAATGTTATATAGGTATGTAGTTTAATATTGCAATACCTTTGCAAAACAACTAAATACACTAAGTACATAGATAAATTGTTTAAGATAACAAAAAAGAAATAAGGCTTTACTACGTTATGGTATTAGATTTACACCTCTTTAACAATAAAGTCAATAACTGTCGACAATAAATTTAGAGAGATTAGATACGCGCTTTTCTGTATTTATGACATGGAATTAGTGATTATTCAAACTCTATCTATAATCCTTATTGATTCGGTGAAATTATCGTAATATACAACAAAACAGACAATTATAGCCTTTTTATAGAAGGCACCATAAAAAGTGAGTTTCTACAACCCATTCCTTACACTAAACATGCTTACATTGTAGTTGTTAAACGGCTGCGATTGAGGCTCAATGATTAAGATTATATCAACCTGAAACTAATCATCTCATTGCTGCGCTTTGGTCGTAAGTGGCCTCGACTTTAGTTACAGTAAAAAATGTAGTGGTCGTCATATTGTAACGCATCAGTAGCGAGTGGCCTTGACTTTAAAAGGTGAAGTTGTAGATCTTTAGATTAATTAAGATTATATCAACCCGAAACTAATCATCACATTGCTGCACCTCGGTCGGTGGCTCAGTGATTAAAACAGCCTTCACACAATCAATATACAGGGTTATTCACACAAGAACCGACACAGAGCAGGAACATGACAATAAATTAAGATGATTTAACGTAACTTATCTCTATACTAAGTTGTACCTCTGAGGAGTTATAAACTTTCAAAGTTGTGTCTTAAATTTTTAAAACATTGAATATCTTCGTAATACATTACGAATTATTATGGCTACTGCTCTTTTTATCATATCAACAAATTTGAGTTAAACTTTAAAGTAATTTTTCTCGAAAATTTTCTTATGTAACCAATATTGAACGTAATATTGACTGTACTAAATTCAGAAAAACATCCTCTTTCATATGCCGTAATAAAAATGGGGGCTTGCCATTTGAAAAAAATATCGATGATGAATAACTCATTTAAAAATGGCGGAAAAAAATTGAAATAAACATTAAAAAATTGCAAAAAATTTAAATGTTTGGACCCGTTTCAGGTATTTTTTCATAAACCGTTTATAATTATTTTATCGCCTGAATCCGTTACTTTACGGACACATTGTATATCATATTTAATAATGTTATTGTTATACAGGATGTCTCACGTAACTGGTTCGTGAGGACGTGTCGAACACTTAATGAGAGATGCCTAACAAACCTAATGCCCATCACAAGGAAAAGTTTCAAAAAGTTGATAATGAATTGCTTAGTTTAGGATATATCGAGACCAGAAGAAATCGCATATTTCTTATGCGATTTATCTTATTATTTTTATATTATTGAAAATATTTTAGATCGAAACTTCCGAATGAACAACCCATGCTACCAAAATTTCAAATCTCTACGAATAGTGGAACCTGAAAAAGCTCTAACGTATTGAGTAATATTACAATTAATATTACAAATATTTTTTTTAGATTAGAGGTACTGAAATGGTTTATTGTGACGAGTTGGAAGAGCCAGAAGTTACTTACCCAGTCGTCTATAGCAACATCAATGCTTGTCAACAGCCAAAGCTAGATGTAGTTGCCAAAAGTTGGACATTCAAGTTAAGTAAACTGAAACATGATCAACGACTTTGGGCAGAAAAATTCATCAACGATATTTTACTTGAAGGTGAGCTCGGTACATTGCATCGTAATGCTGTTTGTAGTAATCATCTGTACCACCAAAATCAGTATTATTCAGTGACACTGTCACCACCGCCTTCTACAGCTGCCAGCAGCAGTACATGATGACAGAAGATACACAGAGCAACATTCAGAATTTCTTTTTTCTTCCGCAAAAGTTTTTTGACTGTATAACATCCTTGACTGCCAGCACAAAACTAAGTAGATCGTCAATAAATATTGGTAGTCTGAGGCAATTACAGTTTGTCAATGTTTATTGGCCATATTGACAATATTTTACTGACAATATATACTGATCGAGTGAGGGCCGCTCAAGATTATATCAACCCGAAACTAATCACATTGCTGCACTTCGGCCGGAAGCGGCATCGGCTTTGGTTACAGTAAAAAATGTACTGGTCGTCATATTGTAACGTAACGCCTAAGCAACAAGTTGCGTCGGCTTCAAAAGCAGAAGTTGTAGATTTTTAGACTAATTAAGCCGAGGTCGCTTGCGACCGAGGCTCAGTGATTAAAATTATATCAACCTAAAAGTGGTCATCACATTGTGAGGCCACGGCCGCGAACGGCTCGGTTTTAAATAAAATACGAAATGTGTGATTTTGTATGATGTTGTATGATCCAATTAGGCTGAGGTAGCTTGCGGCTGATGCTCTACAATTAATATTATTTCAACCTGAAACGGAACATCACACAAGTTTTAGGTTGGTATCACTTCGAGTGAAGTTGGTTGTTCGTTAAGTACTATTGTTAATTGTAAATTATAAGTTTGTAACGAATATTAACCAACGTTAAAATAGAAGATGTGATTGTTTTTTATAGTATTTAACAGCTGTTTTTATTAAATACCCAAAACATTTTTAGTAGCTAATACCGTAATTATATCTAATCGAAATGAATATATTCCATTTTCAAAGGTTAGTTCTTGTGAAATTTTACTCATATAATCATCCAGATAGGTTTCTTGCATTTCATCTGGTACGTATTTTAAGAAAGGATTAGCGCTTATAAACACATCTGTAAAAACTGTAATAAAAGCAATTTTAACCTTCATTACAAGTCTACTTACTTCTTATATTCTTCTTTATTTTATATGGAAACATAACCGTAGATATGCAAATCAATTTTGATGATAAGAAATCCAGCTTTCCTCAGAATATTACTTACTGTTTCTGTTGATTTTGAACCATAATCTACAAAATAACATGGTAAATTTTGAATATATTTGAAAACTTGCAACTATCGAAACAAATAATTGTCCGTTGGATTTTAACATTTTAAAGACGTTATTTGCCCATATTAAATTAATTTATTATAACTAATTAAAATAAAATAGTGAAAGTGACACTTCGAACCAGTTTTTGAAAAAGGTTGCAACATGGCATCCGAAACATCAAACCTTTTATTAAAAGACGCACGACAAAACCCGAAAATTTCTAGCGTTAGTTCTAGTTTTAGTTCTAATTTTAGTTTAATTCACACCGGCCGTGAAAGCCTTCGTACTTATGTTTAGATATTAATTATTTAAATTGACTTGTATAATCAGTTTTTCTACTAAAAGTTGTGTTATGGGGGTTAATGTATGAAATAACACAAAAGTGGCGTTGGTAAATGAAATATTTTATTAGATATGATTACATAATATAATTGCATTGTTTTGTAAAGTGATAAACTGATAACAGAAGCACCGCTACTTTACATTATCTACCATAATCACTAATAACTATAGTATCAGAGTGAATTTAATAACGTAAACATGTAATGTATTTGTCTTTCATATAATTAAAAAAAAAGTTTTGGTTTTATTTTGGAATAAATTGTGACAAGGATGTATGATTCCGTTTTATTTTCTGATAGCAATTACAATACGGTGGTCCACGCAAACGAATTCCTAATAAAATATGAAAAATTATTTAATTGGACGAAATCGGAAGATATTTTAGAGGTTGGCTGTGCAAATGGATGTATTACCAAACATGTTCTTTACCCCATCGTTAAGGACCACCTTCATCACTTAACCGGTAGCGATATTTCTCAATCAGCAATTGATCATGCTAACAAAATTAATAACAACCCCAATTTATCGTTTGAAACATTGGATATTACTAACCAAGGTGAATGCGATCAATACATTGAGAAATTTCATCGTATTTTTGCATTTCACGTTCTCCACGTTGCCCATAAACCAGAATTGTGAGTACATTAATTTTAATCTTTATTTAGTTTTATTATTTTGGATTTATTATTTCAGATGGTCAACAAACTTATATAAAATGTTAAAGCCAAACGGTCAAATGTTTGGACACATAATTGTCAGTTATCCAAATTTTTGTAATTTGGTTACATCAGAACAACGAAATGATCAATCAAAACCATGGTCGGAATACATGCAAAATGTACGTGATGTCTTTTACGATTTCGGACCTAAACCTTTAGAAAGAGTCAAAGAAATTTTTAATCAAGCCGGATTTTTAATTAATCTTATCGACATCGAACCTAAAAAAGTATTATTTAAAAATATTGCTGATTTTAAAAGTAAGGAATGAGGTTTTAACGACAACTAAAATTAACATATTTATTTTATAGATACGTGGATATCAGCTAATCATATTTTAAATCATCTGCCGAAGGAATTACACGATGATTACATAAACGATTTCTTAACGAAATTACTTCAGCATGTCACGTATAATATAGACGGATCTTATGAATTTACATTTGATGTGCTTGTATTTTTAGTAACTAAACCTTAGTTATTATTATTTATAATTATAATAAGACAACAATTGTGTTGATATTATAATGGAAAAACTCATATTAACATTCTAAGATATGATTTAAAGATCATTAAATCCATGAAACCATTAAATACTAAATAAATTTGCTATAAATTGCTTTTTATTTCATAACGATATCTCAATTAGTATTTGAGATACATAATAATTTATTACATAACAATTATGTTTCAGGTTGTCAAATTTGCGGACAAAAAAAAACTTAACTACGAAATTTAAAGATTCCAAGAAATGATCTTCAAAATATTAAATACTAAATAAATTTGCTTTAAATGGCTATTTATTGCACAACAACATCTCAATTAGTTTTTGAGATATGTAACGATTAATTACCCTACTATTTATATTAAAGATTATGGAAGCTTGCATTCAAAAAACCGTAAGTTGGAAGTTTGAAGATTCCAAGAAATGATCTTCAAAGTTTTAAATACTAAATAAATTCACTTTAAATTGCTTTTTATTTCATAACGATATCTCGATTAGTTTATGAGATACGTAAAGATTGATTGCTCCAACGTTTTTTACGTTTAAGGTTTAAAATAAGGTTTTAAAATAATATACCGGGTGTCCCATCGGTTGTGGTATAGGCATTTATGACGTCTAAATTTCAAAATAGAAACTCCAAATTTGATATGTATTATGCCACTGTACTTGACCAGGTGGTGATCATGTCAAATAAATTTTTTATTTCACGTTTTGCGAATAACTTGCAAAAATGTTAAAAATGACGAGGAATATTTCGCAAACACCAATAAAATGACGATACACATATTAACCAATGTGTTAAGTGCCCAGTGGAAATTAAAAGGCGGATTCAACCACCATTTCGCAACGAATTACATCTATGAAAGAGTCCACTACCGCTTCAAATGATGTTGCATCTCCATCTGCCCGGGAACTAACAGCTGATAGCCCTTGTGAACCGTAATCTAGATCCAGAACCATGGAATACTTTACTGACATATTACAGGTTAATGAAAACGCGCTTTTTAGTAATATCAATTTTATAAACAGGATAAAATGCATAAAACGCTGGCTCCTGCCATATATGCAACTGGTTCTCCTATTATTATGGTTATCTATGGTTGGATACCCACTGTGGGAGAAATTTTTTAAAATGCTTAACCCGATATATATCTTGCCAATCAGAAAGAAATTATCCAGAACTTTTTTGGATACAGAATATGTGGATATGAAAAGCATAATTGATCAGCAACCGAAACAGCTGTAAACATAGTAACATAGTAAAGTTTGTGATATCAAAACGCGAACCGAAAAGTTCCTTGTGGTAATCGGAGACAATATCGTACCACTGGATTGCATGGCTCATACTCTTCATCTTCTGTGCAACGATATCTTAAATTTTCCACCTATACAGAAGTTAATAACAGACACTACACACATAGTTAATGCAATAAAACGATCCTATATCTTATCTTTTCTATTTGTAGAAATAATCAAAACGAAGGAATGTAAAGTTAGTTTGAAACTACCATGTAAAACGCGCTGGGGAAGCCATCTCTACTGCATGGAAAGCTTAATATTCAACAAAGTAAGTCTTCAAACTTTAGTTGTTCACGAAAAGGCAACGTCGTTGGATAAAGATATAAAACCTCGTTTACAAGATGACGCTTTCTGAGCGCAAGTACAACAAATTCGTGATATTCTGGATCCTATTGTTTCACTAATAACTACCCTAGGAAGAGGAAGATGTAATAACTCAAAAGGTAATTAATCGCAAGGAATTTGCTACAAGTCAATTCATGTTGCCGCTGCACTACTGAATCCTTATTCTAAAGGAAGCAGTTTGTCACCGTCGGAGGAAATAGACGCAATGGAGTTTATACATAACCTACCCCAGTTAATGCACTTGGATGTAATGGCAAATTTGGCAAATTATAAATCAAATGATGGATTGTGGGTTCAAAAAGATTATTGGATTATTGGAATCTGAGTTAGGTTGCTGTTAGGATTTTATCAGCCCCAATGTCTTCAGTGGCCACAGAACGGACATTCAACATTTTCATGGATATATAGCAAGAAAAGGAATAGGTCGGAAACAAAGAGGGCTGGAGGGCTGCTTTTATTGCCCATAATTTGAAATTAAACAATTCTGAAGTAATACAAACGAAAGAACAAACAAAGGCAACTACAAACGAACCCATCTTTTTCTTTTTATTCTTCTGACTTTTCCACTAATTTTCAGACTTCTATATGAATTAGTTGCTTTTTATTTAGTAATCTTTTTGACCTTATAGGTTGTTCCTAGTTTCCTTCATTTTCTCTCTTTGTGTTTCTGCCTTTTCCTATATGGGTATCCTGTTTGGTTCCATTCGTATTGTGTCATTTTTTGTTTTCCTGTTGTATTCTCCTGCTTGTTTTAGTTTTCTCATAATGTTTCCTTATAGTTGTTTCCCGATTTTCTCATTTTTCGCTGTCCAAATTTCCATTCCGTATGTGATCTACGGTTCTACTGTCTTCGTTATCAATCTGCTTCTCTCTTCTTTTTCTAGGTATTCCTTGTTGATTAGATGGTAAAGTCTAGTATGTTTTATTGGCGAGAGCCTTTCTGGTTTTCGCGTGCCTTTTAAAGTTGTTCCTTTTATTGAATGTTATTCCTAGGTAGGTGATGTCGTTTTTCATTTTTACTATGGTGTCTCCGATTCTGATTTTTTCTTCTGCGTATTTTCTACCAGCTAATCTTGTTACCTCGGTTTTTCCTGTGTATATTTTCATCTTCCATTTCTTGGCCCATGTTATTATATAATAATTGGAATTAATATAAACGTGTATGTAACATATAAAGGAAACACACCCAGAAGGAAGGATACCTTTACACGTTAAAGACAGGAATAACAGAAAGGAAAAATTAGCAGTGTCGGGACTCAAACCCAGGTCTCCCGTTTTCTGTTATTCCTGTCCTTAACGTGTAAAGGTATCCTTCCTTCTGGTTGTGTTTCATTTCCATGTTATTATGTTATCAGTAGCCTTTTCTGATTTTGTCATCGCGTGCCAATAGCCTATCCGTTGTGTTATTATCGCAATGTCCGTGTCACCGCTCTGCCGCCACCTTTCTAGTTTATAGCTCATCTTCTATCCTTATTCGGAAGCTTCTGTCTTCTAGAAATGATGCAATCATCTGTTGTAGGTATTCTGGCGTGCCTATGTTTCCCACGTTGTGCAGGAGTCCCACTCTCTACGTCCTCGTAGGCTTTCTCCATGTCCAGTAGGACGCGTATACGTTTCTTCGTTTTCTTTGTGCTTTTTCCACTTCATCTGCGAGATTTTTCGCTTGCATAACCGCCCCGCTCTCTTTTCTGAAACCGTACTGGTATTCTGGTATTATTTTATTTTCTTCTACGTAGTAAATGAACCCATCGAAGGAAGCACAGAAGATGAAGTGACGACTGCGCCTGAGCCTGTCATTAACAGGTTATCCGACTCCGGCGAAGAACTCTAGGTTGAAAATGCAAACAAGGTTTCGAAATAATTTTGTAGCAGTTATTTTGACTTCAGACTTAAAATGTTTTTGATAAGAATACGTTTTTGTTACCTTTTTTCATGAAAAATACATTTATTTTAAGAGTCAATCTTTGGAATTTATTTACCCGAGTATATTCCCATTTTGGGTAAATACCAGGTATATTTCCAGGGTATTTACAAAAAAAATATTTACCGGCTGTTTACCCATCACTAGTCTCGGTCCACGGTACCATAAATTTAACTGCCATTTAATTTTTCTTAATTTTTGTCGTAAATATTGAACAAATCGCAAATTTTTAGTGTGAATTTACTTTACTATGACTCCCACATCATATAAAAAATGTGAAAAAAAAATAAAACCATAAATTTTCATAATTTTTTACATTTCTGCAAATTATTTGCAAATCATGCAATAAAAAATTTATTTGACATGATCACCACCTGGCCAAGTTGGGTGGCTTAATACCATTGAGTTCTTATATATAATCTAGAGTGCGTATGTGGTGGTGGTGGCGGTAGTCAGAAAGGCAGACATGTTGGATGTACCGACCTGAACTTAGCTATAGTTTCAAGTCTCTATCTACAATTGTAACCTCACAATTCTCATAATCTCATAAAAATATTGTTATTTCTATTAAAATTGTTGAAGGTATTCGAATTCTTTTTGTGTCACATATATTTTTTTATAATTTGGTAGGTTGGAAGATTATTTACAACAGCCCATAAAATGTTTCTGGTTACATAACTTGAAATTAACAATTGAAATTCAAGTAAAGTTTATTATTAAAGAATGTTCAGTTCTTTTAAAATAAACTAACAATTATTTATAAGCAAGTTTAACGTGATCAATCAGAATTGTTTTAAATATTTTCTTCTTAGTTTATGTTAATTATAAGGGATATTGTTAAAAATTATTAAGTTCTTTTAAAATATTATATAATTAATAATTATTTATCAATAAAAAATTAATGTGTTTTGTTTTGGTTATTATTTTCTGTATTTCCAGTTTATAATAATGTAAATTCTTGCAAAAGTATAAATAAGAATTTCGAATTTTCCGCTAAGTTGGTACATCTAACATGGCGACCTTTCTGGCTTCATTTTAGGCGTGGTGGGGACAACAGCATACGCACTCTAGATTATATATAAGACCACAATGCTTAATACATATCGAATTTGGAATTTCTATCTTCAAAAGCCGTAGTTAAAAAGCCACAAGCGATAAGACACCCGGTATACTTGATATTAAATTTTATATATTTTATTTGTTGTAGATTTATTTTATATACCTATTACATATATATTACACAATGACACAATTCATTTCTCGCAATTATTTTTAATTTAAACAAGAAGAGTGAATGCGCGGGTGAATTAGTCACGTGCCTTATTGAAGTTCAAAGTACGCTCTGTCGGCTCTGTCTCTGTATATTTAGTAACCTTGAGGCAGTTTATGACCGCGGCTTCCCCAAAGTACATTAAAAAAAATTTTAAACTGTAAGTATATAGTTCTAAAACAACATTGAATATGTAAGTTGAGCATTTATAAATGAGATTAACTCAATAATAGTGAGCTTTATCTATATCCTTAGATATGTGTACATAGATAAGAACATACTCGATTATGTTTGTGGCGTTATCTAATTTTATTGTATTTTTTAAATTTAGTTATTATTTTAATATTCTGTCTGTATGTGATATACACTGTGTTAATTAATTATCGTAACACGTGGGTTACCTGTGTAATATTGGCTGCATATCTCAATATGTAGTGGTAGCTCAAGGTTTATATATAAGAGGTTGTCTAGATTCGTACGCAACCATACTGCGCATTACGTCACATGTGGAAAATAATACCGCCAAGCAATTCAAATTAAACAAATGCACGGAGCACCACATGGCTATGAGGTTGCGTGCGCAATCCGTGATCGCTTACGTCACGAAACACTCCTGCTCTTGCCCCGCGCCCACAAACTAAATCAAAGTATTGCAGCATAGGTACTTAGACAACCTTTAATATATAAACCTTGGTGGTAGCTTGGATAATTTTAAACTAACGAACTATCGGAACTATCGTTGTTTCTAGCGGTTGCTTTAAGCGGTAAATCAATAAGCAAATTGACGTTCAGTGAGATGGGACAATCGAGTGTGACCCACCGGTGATGCATGCCGGCGCGGACATGTTAAAATATTCCTTTAATTATTAAAATATATCTAAATATTTTTTAAAAGGCTTCTAAAGTTAATAAATTGTCGCCATCGTTTTTAGAAAAACTTTCGTCGCGTTGTTATATCAATCTGTGATATTGGTTGCATACTTTGTCGGGTACGATAATTAATTAACACACTGTATATTGTTTCCATAGGAATATTATTATTATTGAAATAATAAATAAAAATGTAACATCAAAAATATGGTCTAAAATATTAAATTCAAAATTTAAATAATTTTTATTATTGATAGTCGTTAAACTATTAAAACCACTATCAATGTTCTTACACATTCTGATGTTATTTAGTTAAGCGCCCTTCACACGATCAATATACATATATTGTCAATAAAATATTGTCAATATGGCCAATAAAGATTGACAAACTGTAAATGCTTCTAAATTGCGCTGGCAGTCAAAGATGTTATACCGTCAAAAAGCTTGTGTTGCTATTATAGGATATATCAATTGTCTATTTTAGGATTGTCAATCTCTCCCTTAGGCTGTCAACATTTATAGTCAATATATCAAATATTTTCGTTTTCGTCAAACCATCCCATCAATATTTTCAAAATTTTCAAATTGATGCGAAAGATTTCAAGGAGTGATTTTTGGTCTTTCATATAACTGTTTCTTCAAAACCTCTTCTCCACCGAGTACAGCACTCTAAAGTTAGGGGAAAAATTGTTTTTATTTAATAAATCCACCATGGAGGAATTTAGAAGAATGAAATTTGGCAGATAACTATTACTAATAAAATGATACCTTTTGACGATTTTTATAAGCCGAAAATGTTATTACAAAGGGCTGAAAGATCAACCCCTATAATACATTGCATCAAAACTTTTTAATGTAAAGCTGTATACTATAATTATGTACGCAATCATTTTTAACATGAAAGTAAATAATTATTGTTAATATTCTTACAGACAGAATTAAATTGACTCGTTTGTCAGTAACGAGTCACTTAATTAAACTTAATTAAACCGATCATTTAGAATAGTAAACATTCTTTAAAATAAAACAATCTAACTGAAGTTTTTACTCTTGTTACAGTTCTTTAAACAAAATGGATAATCCGGCTGAATTTTCAAAACACAACAAAAACACCATTCGAGATGCTGTTGAACTAATAACTAAATATAAAAATTATTTTAAATGGTCAGATAACCCGGAAGATATGTTAGAGGTAGGTTGTGCAAACGGAGAAATTACTTTTGAAGTTGTGTATCCGTTAGTTGAACCTCACTTAAAAGAATTAATCGGATCGGATGTGGCATCGTCAGCTATAGAAGTAGCAAATGAACTTCATAAGAAACCTAAGTTATCTTTTACAACTATAGATATTGCTGAGGAGGGATTATGGAAAAAATACGAAAATAGATTTGGTCATATCATATCGTTCTATACACTACATTTGGTACCAAACCCAGAAAAGTATAAAAATTCTTTTTAATTTCAAATTATTTCAACACTATTTTTAGATGGACTGAGAATTTATTTAAAATGTTAAAATCAAATGGACAAGTTTTTGTTGTAATGGTTCTCCCTCCGCACCCATTCCCAATGGCTACAAAACTACAAAGAGCTGAAAACGATCCACGTTGGTCTAAATATATGGCTGAATCTCCAGAATTATTCACAGATTTCGGGGAGAATCCCTTTGAAACAATTAAAAGTTTATTTGAAAACGCTGGATTTGTTATTGATATTGCTGAAGTGAATAAACTTAAATCTGTTTATCCAACATTCAAGAGTTTATCTGGTAGTATCACAAAAATAATTTAATAACTCAATTTAATCCATACTACTTTTTAGCAACAGTACTTGCGATAAATAACATTCAAAAACATGTTCCTGAGGATATTCGACCGAGTTACATTGAGGATTTCTTAAAGAAAATTGAAGAATGTGTACAACACGATGAAAATGGGACTTATTTCTATGATAAGAATGTTTTAGCTTTAATTGTTTCTAAACCTTGAATTTTTACATAAATTTATTTGGTTTTATAAATAAAAATGTTCTAAAATCGTTTATGAACTAGTTACAATTATTTTTGTATTAAAAAATAACCTAAATTCAAATTAACAGAAACGTTTAAGCCATTTTTTTATATACAATTGAAATAATGTATTTATAGATGGATAGTTTTTTTAATTTTCAGCTCTATCGGTTTCGATCGTTACATTCAATCATCTTTAGGAGCCACGTCATTAAACATATTTTTAAAAAACATATCTGGTTTATTATTTAAGCTATGTGTTTCTTTGAAACACATGGCGTATAGTGGTGCAAGGAAAGCTTATTGAGTAAATAACAAGGTAACAAAGAAGAGAAGAAGTAAGTAATCAAGATCAAGAAGATAATAGCTTAAATAAAAAAAAAATTAAAAAAAACATCCATCTATAAATATACATAGTTTTATTTCAATTATATGAAAATTGAGATGCAAAGAAATAACCAAATAAATATTAATTTTTTTATATGCAAGATCCGGTTTTAGTTTCCCATAATAATTACAACACTGTTATTCACGTTAATTAATTACCTTTTCTAAAGAATTTTTATCTAAATATAAAAGTTTACTCAATCGGTCATCTTTGGAAGATGTTTTAGAAATTGGTTGTGCAGATGGTTACAAGCTAAACATATTTTTTACCTGTTGTTGAAAAGCATCTTAACCATTCAACAGCCGTCTGAATGTGATTATTTTATCGAGAAATCATTATATTTTTATGTTTATAATACTAAAAAGAATTGTAAGTACGATGTATAATAAAGTATAAAGTTAAATTTCTTAAAAAATAGTATCATATAGCAGATGTATTTAAAATGTTAAATCCAAATAGTTCCAAATTTTTAACTTATATCATTGTGAGTGATCCCAACTGTTGTAACTTAGTTACAACATAGCAGAACAATAAATTGATGAGTCAAACTCTTTGTCTAAATATATTAAGAACGTAGACGACATTTTCAGATAGATTCTTTAGTTATAGTCGATTTAATCTGAATTATCTTTTGCTTATTGTGGGCTACACTTTCGGGCATTCATATGTGTCTAAACAAGGAGCCGAACACGGTGTCATTCCGAGGCCTATACAACGTTCACAGGAAAGAATTGAGATCGGGAATTTAGTGATTTCGATAAAAGAAACTATGGCGAATTGAATGACGTATAGATCTTGATAGTTGAATACATTGTTTACGAGTTATGATCACCTAAAAAAGGGCATTTTTGTGTATCTTTGTGTACTTTTGCAATATTTTGGTTTTTTAGTGAAATTCGAAAGAGATTTCGAATCGGGCATTCCCACTTTCGTATTGACCAAGAACTAAGGTTTCGAATATTATACTGTTAGTTAAAATCGGTTGAGAGGTTTTCTTATACCAAAATTATCAAAATACCAGTACGCGGGCCAGTACACCGTGTAATTTGAACAATCATTTGTAAAATGGTTGCCTATTTTACGGTGTTGTGAAAGTTAATTTAAATTTAAGAAGGATTTTTTAACAGCTAATCGGTTAATAATGTTATTGTTGTTTGGCGTTTATGCATTATATTTGTTTAAGTTATATTTTTCGAAAAAGTTCGATTCAGAAGAATCGTTTTAAAAAGCAGTATTTTGAATTGGTAAGTCACAAATCGAATTGACGTTTGAAATTGATTTATTTTAAGCTGACGTTAGCAGTATGACTTTGCAATGGAACCATAATGGAACATGGCAATTTTAAATCGCCATGAAATTGGTGGTAACTCGTTTTGAAGAAAGGAATGGTATACAAGATAAAAGGGACCATACACTGAGAGATTGTACGAATCGTATTATAGAAAAAATATTATACATGCAGCAATTCATTGTATACATGCAGTAATTCATTGTATTATATTCATTATATTTAGTATTTTATATTAGTATTAGTATTTAGTATATTTTTAGTGCATAGTACAATCCATTTCTCTCAGCGTAGCTTTAACAAATCAACGACAAAGTTAGCTTTACTTGGCCCAGGTTTAGCATTAGTTATAAGGCCTTACTGAACTTAAAATCTTATCTAATCATTATTGATAATACAAAACTTGCCGTAATTGCGAAAACACACGCTAAGAGTTTCTCTGTTGCGCCAATCAGCTTATTTTAAACATAAATCATTTGAAAGTGATTTACAGTTGAAATATGGATAACCCAGCTATGTTCTCACAGGCTTCATGAACCGCGGTACTATGATAATCTAGGGACTTCAACCACAGATGGATTACTTTCGAACTAGGACCTAGTATGCTCTCGAAAAAAAGAGTCCGGGATCCAAAGCGGACTGACTTGAGCATTTTGCAAGCTGTCTAAGCGAGCAATTGCGCACATAGTTAATGTAATAAAACGATCCTAAATCGTATCTTTACTATTTGTGGAAATAAGCAAAACGAAGGAGTGTAAAGTTAGTTTGAAACTACCATATAAAACGCGCTGGGAAAGCCATCTCTACTGCATTGAAAGCTTAATATCCAACAAAATCAGTCTTCAAACATTAGTTGTTCACGAAAAGGGAGAGCGCAAGTACAACAAATTCGTGACATTCTGGATCCTATTGTTTCACTAATAACTACCCTAGAATCAAACACTCCGATGATCCACAAAGTGCACTCTCTGAAATAGAACTAAAAATTATACGTAGCATTTCAAAAGGTACAAGGTAAAGATTTTTACACATCTGAGGAAGAGGAAGATGTAATAACTCAAAAGGTATTTAATCGCAAGGAATTTGCTACAAGTCCGAGTCATCTTGCCGCTGCACTATTGAATTCTTGTTGTAAAGGAAGCAGTTTGTCACCTTCGGAGGAAATAGACGCAATGGAGTTTATACACAACCTACGCCAGTTAATGCACATGGATGTAATGGCAGGTTTGGCAAATTATAAATCAAATGATGGATTGTGGGCAAAAAGATTGTTGTGGACCAGTGTAAACACATCAATCAAACACTCCAATCTGAGGAAGGTTGCTGTTAGGATTTTATCAGCCCCAATGTCTTCAGCGGCCACAGTACAGACATTTTGCATATTTTTGGATACATAGCAAGCAAAGGAATAGGCTGGAAACAGAGAGGGCTGGAAAAAGCCCACTCTACTTTTATTGTCCATAATTGGAAATTAACCAATTCTAAAGTAACAGAAACGGGGGAACGAACAAAGGCAACTACAAACGAATTCATCTTTTTTTTTTATTCTTCTGACTTTTCTGCTAATTATCAGACTTCTATATAAATTTGTTGCTTTTTCCAATTTTATTTAGTAATCTTTTTGACCTTATAGGTTGTTCCTAGCTTCCTCCATTTTCTGTCTTCGTGTTTCTGCCTTTTCCCATATGGGTATCCTGTTTAATTCCTTTCGTATTCGGTCATTTTTTGTTTTCCTGTCATATTCTCCTGCTTGTTTTAGTTTTCTCATAACGTTTCCTTATAGTTCTTTCCCGATTTTCTTATTTCTCGCTGTCCAAATTTCCATTCCGTATGTGATCTGCTCTCTTCATTTTCTAGGTATTCCTTGTTGATTAGATGGTAAAGTCTCCCGTATGTTTTATTGGCGAGAGCCTTTCTGGCGATGACAAAAGTTGTTCCTTTTGTTGAATGTTATTCCTAGGTAGGTGCTGTCGTTTTTCGTCTTTACTACGGTGTCTCCGATTCTGCTTTTTCTTCTACGTATTTTCTACCTAATATTGCTATATGCAGGATTGGTTTTTCCTGTGTTTATTTTCATCTTCCATTTCTTGGCCCATGTTATTACGTTAGCTGTCGCTATTTCCGCCTTTCTCATCGCGTTCCAATATCCTCTCCCTTCTGTTATTATCGCAATGTCGTTTGCGTACTGTAGGATCTTTCCTCCTTTGTTTCTGGGAATGTCGTATGCCATCACATTATATAGATAGGATGGGAGATAGTGGGGATCCTTGTGTTGCCCACCTCTCTAGTTAATAGCTCATCTTCTATCCTTATTCAGAATCTTCTGTGTCCTAGAAATGATGCAGTCATCTGTTGTAGGTAGGCCGGCGTGCCTATTTTTCACTTTGTGCAGAACTGAAAAATCTCTCTCCACGTCCTATCGTAGACCTTCTCCATGTCCAGTAGGACTGCGTATACGTTTCTTCGTTTTCTTTGTGCTTTTTCCACTTCTTCTGCGAGATTTTGCAAAATGCAAACAAGGTATCGAAATAATTTTGTAACAGTTACTTTGACTTCAGACATAAAATGTTTTTGATAAGAATACGTTTTTGTTACCGAATATGTTTGGTTTTCATGAAAAATACATTTATTTTAAGAATCAGTCTTTGGAATTTATTTACCCGAGTATATTCCCATTTTGGGTAAATACCAGGTATATTTTCAGGGTATTTACAGAAAGAATATTTACCGAGTGTTTACCCATCATTAGTCTCGATCGACGGTACCATAAATTTATCTGCCGTTTCATTTTTCGTAATTTTTGTCGTAAATATTGAATAAATCGCAAATTTTTTAGTGTAAATTTACTTTACTATGACTCCCACATCATATGATATAAGAATCGTTAAAAAATAAAACCATAAATTTTGTAATTTTCAGTTGTGGTACAGTCAAAAAGCCTATACCCCAACCGATGGGACACCCGGTATACTTGATATTAAATTTTATATATTTTATTTGTTGTGGATTTATTTTATATACCTATTACAAATATATTACACAATGACACAATTAATTTCTCACAATTATTTTTAATTTAAACTAGAAGAGTATGCGCGGGTGAATTGACCACGTGCCTTATTGAAGTTCAAAGTACGCTCTGTCTCTGTATATTTAGTAACCTTGAGGCAGTTCATGACCGCGCCTTCCCCAAAATAGTACATTGAAAAAAACTTTAAAACTGTAAGTAAATAGTTCTCAAATAACATTGAATATATGTATAAGTTGAACATTTATAAATGTAATTAACTCAATAATCGTGAGCTTTATCTGCATCGTTAGATATATAGATAAGCACACACTCGATT